AATATTTGTAACATTACAACACAAAAACACAAACCAACGAGAAATTTTATAATATACAAGGAGTAACTAGTGTCATATACAATAGTTATTCCTTAGGCCCACTTTAAGAAGAGAGATAGACACACAAAAAAAAGAGAGAGAAAAATAGGAGAGAGAAAATAAAAAAATTAAGCGGACATTGAAATCTTCTTATCACTTTTGGTGGGTAGGGATGTGATTTCTTTCTCTTTTTGTGTCTATCTCTCTCCTCAAAGTGAGCCCAAAGAATAAATACTGTCCATGCCACTAGTTACTCCTTATGTATTATAAAATTTTTCCAAACCATATACCATAAAAGTGCCAATAACATTGATTAATAATTGAACAATGCCATATAAAATGAACAAAAGTCAATGACTTTTGCATGAAGAGACATGATAACATGAATCATAATATTATTTAATTTTTTAATAATTTAGTTCACCAATCCTTTCGTCAAAATTCATGTTATAAACATTATTTAATATTAATGGTAAATTATAAATTAATCCATTTATTTTTTAAAAAAACAAATAATAATAATAATAATAATAAATCTTCCACAATAACTACTTATGAAATCCACTTATATTAGTATAAAAGCAACACACCAACAATATTTGTCATATGACAACACAAAAACACAAACTATATACGATAAAGGTACCAGTAACATTGATTAATAATTGAACAACGCTACATAAAATGAACAAAAAGTCAATGACTTTTGCATGATGAGACATGATAACATGAATCATAATATTATGTAATTTTTTTAATAATTTATTTCATCAATCCTTTCGTCAAAATTCATGTCGTAAACATTATTTAATATTAATAGTAAATTATAAATTAGTTCCTTTATTTTTTAAAAACAAGTCAATTTTTTTTTAAAATAATTATTTAGTGTTTTAATAGTATTGATCACACTTAATTCTATATTAAAAAAAAATCATATTTTTTCATTAATTTTACACATTGTTTTCTATTTTTGAAAAAAAAACTTCAACATAAATTAAAAAAGAAAATAATCAAGTTACAAAAAATATAAAAATATAAAAACTAAATAATTAATTTAAAAAAAAACTAATTAATTTATTTTTAGAACCAGAGAGTGATATTTACAGTTTACTCCATTCCTAACCCATTAACTTTTGTTGGTCACCTTTTCGTGTAGGACCACATTGCCCTTATAATAATAGTTGAGATATTTTTTGCGTAGTGTTGACTATAATTTATTTGCGCGTGGCATATTGTTTGCGAAGGAATGTTAGCGCCGTTAATCACGGGATTCCGTGATCGCTGGTTCACACGGGGACCACATGCACCGCAATTAAGGACAACTGTTAGAGGACACGTAGATGACAGTTTTATTTCTATTTTGATTTTTTTTTGGTTCTTTTCTATTTTGATTTTTGATAGCGAATCAGTTATTGATTTGGGATGCTGCAGTTCCACAACCTTCTCTTCAGAGGCTCCTCATTTTATTTTTATCTTTTTATATTTTTTTGACCATTTAGTTTTAGGAAATTGCGATTCTCAGAAAACAAATTGTGAACGTGTGTATGCCGATTGGGCTGGTTGGAAGAGTCTAGCGAGAGCACGAGATTGATTTCCCGTCTTTACTAGTGTAAAAGAATTTTCAAAGTCATGCGAGAAATAAAATCTTTAGGTAGGAAAAAAGCATTTTTAAAGGGTTTTTTTTTTTTAAAAAAAAAACTAACAGAAAAAAATATCGGTCAATTATAATAGATTTGGGTAAGATTTTTTAAAAATCGATATTTTAAAATTCGAATTATGTAAAATAATAACAAAAATCTGAAATTATTAAATTATAGTAAAACGAGGATATCTTTTATTGTAAATCTCATAATTTTTAGTCTTATATGAATAGATTGTTTTTAATTTGATATGAGAGATAGACTTAATCATACTTTATTAAAGTTAACTCAAGGATATGCCCAAAAAAAAAAAAAATTCAAGTAATTTTTTATTCGGGTGAAATGAATCATATGCACTCAAACTAACGAGTTTTTTTTTTTGTTGAAAAATCATAACTATGTGACATAATTCTTTTGTAAAACTCATTAGTAGAATCTATTCCACTAATACGCAATGGGTATTTTTAAGGGATTGGCCGACTAATTAAAAAGTATTTCCTTTCTTGGATTTTCGAATTCTAATTTTAAGTCCATATTTAGAAAAAAAAATTATTGATGCAGTAAATTATTATGAAAATGTGATTTTTAAAATCATTCAAAAAAAATATTTAGTTTCAGTTGATGTATATATAGAATATATTTTTAGAGTCAAACTAAAAAACAAAACGTAACTGATATTATCTAGAAAACTGACCTGGTAAATTATTTTCGACAATATAAAATTACTCTAAAATTATTTTACGTGACCTGATGAAATCAACAAAGGAAATGAAAATGGATCTAACTACAAAAGGAAAAAAAAACAAAAAATCAATGAAAAACTATTAAAACTAGCTATTTCCCATAAAGGAAAAAACAAAAAAAGAGAGTGAGGTTTTTTTGGTGTCCACCCTTTCAATTTTTTTTTTCTATTTTGGTGTCCAACTCGTTGATTTCTCATGATCGACTATCCAAGTTTTGATTTTTTGTTTGTTTTGTTGCTTGAATTCATCCGAATCTTAATTTTGTTGATGTGTCCGACGAGATCCGTCACATCAACGCCTCATACTTTAATGTAATTATGGGTACTCAAATAGGAAAAAAAATCGAAAGTTAAACATTAAAACAGAAAAATTAAAGATTAAGTACGGATATGTAATTTTTTTAAGAATTTATTATCCGGAGATTGCAAAATTTGTTCAATAATTTCGATAAATATTTTTCATATCATACTCGTGGTATTTCTTTTTGCTTATTAATGATAATTTTTAGTACTCGTATATGTTAAAAATTACTTTAAAAAAATTCTAAACCTTTTTGCATGTCTAGAAAAATTTAAAATTATATCATTTAATCCAACTATAGATAAGGTCCAATTAAGATTAAATTTAGAAGAATAAAAGACGTATAAAATCCAATTATGATTGTCATTTGTGGAACAAATGATTAATAAATAGAGAAAGTTACAAAAAATAAAAATTGCTCCTCTTTTTAGAGAGAAAATTGACTAACATATCATATGTGACAAAACCTTCTTATACCCAATAACTTGGTGGACGTTTTATATTAAGTCGAGATGGGATAAAATTGACCAATGATATATTTTTTGGTGTCCGTTCATTGATATATATATTTTTGTTTAGGTGCCCAATCTTTAATTTTGTTTTTATTTCAATGTATGGTCTTTGATTTTTGATTTTTTTCTATTTGAGTGTCCATAGCTATCCGAAAGTATGATGTGCTGATGTGATATGATTGATCTGCCACGTGATATTTTTTGACCATCACAAGGTAGATTTCGTCGAAACATCGACAAAATTAGAATTCGGATGAACTTAGATATCGGAACAAACAAAAAAAAATTAAAACGTAGGAAGTCAACTATAAGAAATCAATTATTTGAACAACAGCAAAAAAAAAAAAGTGAAAGGTTGGACACCAAAAAAACCTTCCTCTCCAAAAAAAAAAAAAAAAAAAAGAAAAAAGAAAAAAAAAGGATAGAAGTATAAGGCGTAGGAAAAGTACCAAATCTCTCTAGCCAAATTTAATTTTGCAGAATTTCGAACTGTTTATACCTTTTAAACACTCTTTTAAGTCTTGCTTTAGAATTTTTATTTTTGAATATTTTCTTGTGCTATATTTTACGATATCATTATTTATTAGGAAAAAAAAAAAAGAAAGAAAGGAAAACGTACTCAAAGTTATCTCTAGAGATTGGGGCGATCTCCATTTTGAAGAAGGATAGATAATGATGGATCTTCCATTTATGTGATGGATTGCCTTAAATTTAACACAAAATTGGAAGGTAAGATATTGTACCCGTAAGCCTTTAACAAATGTAGTTGTGGCCTGTGGGTGAGTTGGGATCACGATCATAACAACTCGACGAGTGCATGTTATGTCAGACACTCAAGGAAAGCTTGACATTTGAAATTTTCACATCTACGCCTCCTTAGCATATCCCACTAACGTAGTTTAAGCTCCGTTTGGAACTCCTACTTGATTAAATAAATAAATCCATTTATACCACAGTAAAATGTGAAATTATTAGATGAACCTGTTTCATCACTTAATTATAGACCAACCAATTATTATTATTATTATTATTATTTGTTATAGAGTAAAACTATTTCTAAATTAATTTATGGATCAATTGAAACTAAATCTTTCTTCAAATGGTTTTAAAAACGTAATCTCGACATTAACAAATCTAATCCCTTAAAATTTGAACCACCTAATAATAATATAACATAAAATCTAGTTTAGCCATATGAGGAAAGAAATTCGATATCAATAAAAATGAAATTTTTACTATTATTATTTCACTATTATAACCGTAGTTATTCTTTACTTATTTTGAAGTTAATGATCTGACTAAATGAGATGATTTATGATTTCATGGTTGATCCTAACCGGCAACTAGATTCACCTAACAATTTCTAAACGAAATTGGCTAAAATGTAATGGCTGCTAAAGGATTATATGCCAAAAAAAATAAAAATAAAAATCATTTTTATGGGAGCAGGAGAGGAGTGGTCAGGTCACGAAATGAAGCACATCATGAAGAGCCTTACTCAGACAAAATCAGTTAGATATCCTAATCTCAACATATAGAATCTGTCAAAATCATGCATGTGGTGGCATTAGCCATACCTATACGTCCTCGGCACATCTAATTTCGCTTTGGACATGGGCATTCCTATAAGAGAACAAACCTGAAAGCACACCACATCGCCCAAGATGGCGCTGAAAAAGAAGTAACATCTAAAACGCAAAGAATGAATATATCATATTCCTCTCGAACATTATCAACTGCTAAAAGTTGGCTGGCAGATCCATGTATCAAAATCCTAATATGTTTCGTGATATGTGTAACAGAGGTTCCAAAGCACTCGGCGCAAACTTCCTCGCAAAAAGATAACAAACTGAAGAGGATTGATCATTGTAAATGCAATGCTTACCTTCATGAATCTTTTTGAAGAACTCCTCAGTTATGTCCGCTCTTCCGAAGGTAGCTGGGTGAGCCCCACCCCTTGACCAGTCCACCCAAGTAAGGGTTCTGTTCGCTAAGAGAGATGCTGCTTGAATGGTTAACATGGTGGGGAAATAATGTTCATCAACATAACAATTTGGCTTACAGAATTCTTTAAACTTTGGGTAATATGTAGTATCTTCCACTATGTTGACTGCAAGCTTTCGGTTGATCTCAAACCATTGAGATCCTTTGCGCCACTGGGTAATATCCACCTCAGGTACCATGTTCTCATTATACCGTCCTCTCCCATACGGCCCATGGTCATCAAACGCACCAATGAAGCTATACTTGGATCTCATTATGTAGTCATAGATGACACTGAAATTAAAGAGAGGAATGCAAGATTCGGATACAAGAACAAACCGCTCATTGGAGATATCGAGCAATGCATTAGCAACGAGTCTTCTTTCAGCATCACACATACTCATCTTACCCCATTCGGCAACCTGTGTTGGGAAAGAGGGAGATAAATTGTAAGCTTCCTTATAAGATCAAAATTCAAATGTTCGATAAAACTTCCAAGTCCTACTAATATAACAGAAAACGTTAACTGACAACCAATGTTCTGCACAATATGTATAGCTTTCTGGCATTCTTCAATTATATACCTTGCTTGTGTAACACTCATTTAATTTCCTGGACACATTGACATTCACATTTTCAATGAAGGAAAGATTTTGAACAGCTAATAGGGTAAGAGATTATTACAAAGGCATAGCAACTAAGAAGATTTGAAGTGACAATTTGGAACAGATTCAAGTGATTTCATGCACATACTTCATCTCACAAAATAACAACAATAACAAGGTCATGGATGAACATGGCTCTATCTTTTAGCATTGCTGCATATGCTGTCTTTGATTCCAAATTGGTCCATCACATGCTCCACGTTGTACCTCAGAAATTCAAGTTAATAAATTTAACATTCTTCTTCCTCCAGATCTGGGGATTCTAGCTTGTTTTACTCGATAAAGGAGGATATCTTTCAATTTGGGTATCAGAGCTAAAAGAGACTGTAGGAACCCATGAAATGGACTCCAGTCAAACGATGGATGTAGCCAGCTCCATTCCCATATCAGCTGCTGCTCTTTCATATCTGTTGTCATTGTTAGGTGTAGACAAGGCATGGGCTTGAAGCAGAGACATGGGCATCAAGCAAGGAATGGACATGGAGCAGAAAAGAACGAACATGAAGCATAAAGGTGCGAGATAGGAGTCTGAAGCATGGACTTGAAGCAAAAAGGTAACGGGTTATCATGAATCGTCATACTCAAATGCTATTTCATGCATAATATAACCCAAAGAAGATCACTAACCTTCAATCAACTACCCGAGCAATTACAACCTTCTATACTACAAAGTTCCAGAATATGTATCTCCTTTTACCAGATTTTTCCCTAGTTAAGTCTAACACTCCTTCAATCCAACTTTAAACAATGAAATACCATCAAAATACTTCCACAAAGATTTCAAGTAATGGTACCAGCTCTGTTGTTGAACATTTTTATATTAATTCTAAACCTTGGCTTTTCAAGCCAATTTTTAATAGAGCTGCTATCATTACCATACATCATGCTTCAATCCATTTCAGAAGTTGCCACACCACCCTTATTAACAAGTCAATCTCACCTGCAACAGACCATTTGAAACAGTCTTGTTCTGGAGTCTTAAGTCTTGTTTTGCTGCATTATAAGTTGTGTAATCACATAATATTAGAGTCAAAGAGTTCATTTACTTGTGTATTTTCAACCTGGAGCAATTCTTTAGGCACTTCTTTCATGGTGTTACCACCACAGGCTTTCACACAAGTTATTGGAAATTCCATACAGTCAGTTAAAAGAGCAAAATCATGCAGTACAATTTTTTCTTCGTGTGCTATCCCTACTTTGACTGAAAAAAATCCCATTAAAAATGAAGATGACCTCTAACAACAGTTCTAAGAATGTTCTCTAAAGTATGCCTTCGAAGGTTATAGTCATCAAAATTCTTTTACCTGAAAGAACACAAAATTTCTTTAAAAAGGAAAGACTAATTCAAGAATTCCAGTATAATCATAAAACCAAAGGTGAAAATGAAAACGAACCTTCTGAGGACCTAAAATCATTTTCAACTTCCAACAGCAGGTATATCTGATGCCTTCAAATAAATGTTACAGTAAACATTGAATAAGAAAATTCAGTGGCAAGAAAAGCTGCATCTGTATCTCCAACATGAAGTTATTCTCAGGGAAAACTACTTCCAGCAGGGGAGAATTTTACATTCAAAAATTTATATTTCAGAAGAATGCAGGTCCATATAAACATCATAATTTTAAAACCACATAAAAAAACTCTACCAAACGAAGGCAGCTATTTGTGGACAATGAGAACCCAAAAATGAGATGCAAAAATAGAGCACTCGAGCAATAGCATTCATAAATAGCTGAATCATCAAACAAATATCAAGACCAAAATTCGAAAAAAAAAAAAAGGTTTAATATAAGCATTTACACACCTGACTTGGGATTTGTCTCTGATGGAAAACTGAAGAAGGTGGAAATTTGGCTTCAAATGTTGGCAATGGATGAATATAGATCGAATAGAACCCTTCATGCCCCTTCAAAAACCTTTCCCAAAGAGCTGCCAGAGGCAATGGCCCCTTTGTCAAAAACATAAATGCAATCTTAGGAACTCTCCTGAAGGGATACTTCTTTATTTGAGGAACAAACGAAGCCCTCCAAAAGAGCTCCTCATCCCTCATTTGATGGAGCAGATTAGATGGAGGCCTAATCCAACGATCCAAAGTATTCGGTTCATCAAAGCAAGGCTTAAAGGCAGGCTTAACAGTTGCCCCTGCAGTCGGAACTCCAAAACGCTTGATTGTATACATACTGATGACCGAAAAGGCAATACATAGAGCTAAAAACAGCAAAAATAACTGGAGTAACCTTATTGGATAGGGCTTTGATTGGCTTGCTTTGATTGAAACCGTAGGATCCTTCCCTTCCTCCAATGGAAGGACTCTTGATTGCATGTTTATAACAATACTCTTGTCAGAATTCACCTACTGGGTTTCATCTAACCACACCCTTTTCGCATTAAAGTTGTCTTAAAACCTCCAAAACTGGAAAAGAAATCGGCTTTTATCTCCTAACTAAGAACCCCCAAACTCCAAGATTGTATTCGAAGAGAAATAGTGAACTCAATTTACAATACCAAGCTCTTAACACACAAAAACCAATACAGATCTAAAATCTAATGCCACAGAACCTAAAAAGATAATGCTGTGTTGAAAACCGAGTTTGCAGCACAAGGCGTTTCAAACAAATCGAAGATTCTGAATCAAGATCAGAGAAAAAAAGGTATCAAATGTGAACATACCATGTAACTATGTAGTGGTGCAAAATGAAGCAGAGTCAAAAGGATTGTTTATTACTTCATTTCAGTGCTTCAATTACGCCAAGATTGAAGTTTGATAGAGACTGGGTAAGAGAGATAGGCAAAAGAGAAAAAGAAAGTCTGGCGGCTAGAGAGAGAAGAGGGCGTCTCTCTAACTCCAAGAGAGTGGGTAGAGAGAGAAAGTGCAAGTTATATGTACATGGGATTGAGTGAAATTGACGGAAGGGAAAGGAAGGTGGGATTGATGATCTGCTAATCTGGGAGTTCAAACTTCAAAGAATGTTTTGCCACACAGACGCAAACGCGAGTGCTGGCTTTTGTCGGGGGACTTTTCTAGTTTCCTTTGTTTTAATCTCTGTATTCAAGTTGACGAGTGGCACGTCATGCCGGTTTTACGACTCACTGGTCATTGGAGATATTAATGTTATATTTGATACCCAACTATATCTAAAAATTCCCAAATATATCACCGTAAATGCCAACAGTTCCTAAAAACAAGATAAATACATATATCTTCGTTTTCGAAACTGTTATTGGATTCACATAATTTATTGGTAGGATTCTTTTCATTAATGCATGAGATTTTCTGTAAATAATTCCTGCAACAATTTCTTATAAAACAAGAATCTCAATAATTCTACTGAACCATCCACATCGACATCATTGGAACGAGTTCAATTTCCAAAAGAAGGTATAATCCCGGTCACTTATAGTTGAACTGATGACGGGTTACATACCCTTTTATGCCTTTAAATAAGAAAAGACATAGAATATCATCAGAAAATTCTATAGCACAAAACCTGTTTTTTTTTAAATCACTGTTATTTATCTATTTGAATAAACAATACACAACCTACTCGTTAATAGAGATCTATACAGAACATTGTAGCAACACTGAAATCTACTGGTTCATCTTGTTGTATACGAGATACCACTGTGATTCAAAATTTATTCCTTCCAATGCAATCTCACCCACAAGAACCCACGCCTAAACTGCTCACCAATAAGAGGTAGCTGGATGCATTAGACGTAAAAACTCATGTCCCATTGTCACCTCACTTGATCCTAACGTTTTAGGCAGGGAAGGTGAGCTAGGTGTTGCTGTGCCTATGCCTGCCACCCGGACTTGACTTTCACTCATCTCAAAAACCATGCAAAAGAGACGTCTAACCTATTTTGATGGCTCTAATAATAACAACACTCTGGCTATGACCATCATGCTTATTTGAAGAATTACTTGTCCTCTTCACATTGTATGCATAGATTGCTGGAAGCCTGGAACAACCACTCGTATAAGACCATCTTACTCGAAGCTAATATAATCGTATACATGAACGTAAAACAATGACAAAAAAGGAGAACAAAATCATGACTAGACAACATTTGGGCAAGACTCAAAACAGGAACTCGGCAAGTACTAAAATGTTGACATTTCTCACAAGCCATGCCCCGGATTCCACATGCCTTTGCACAGAATATGGTGACGAGAAGATCTGTCACTCTCATCAATTCAGCAGATTTTCCATGCTGAGTGAAGACCCAAACAATTTTGATGGTCCACGTATCAAGTTCAACAGGCATCAATTGGACGTGCCAGTTGCCACCATAAGCAAATGATAAACGTACTTGGGAAAGTATAAACTCAAAACACAGTTCACAATTGTCAACCTGCTGGTGTGATTCGTTGATAAGTTGGCAGAAAATAACCAGAAAATCCACCATCATTCAGAAACTTAAAATAGTGCACCAATCCACTGTCAGACATTGGTTTCATGCCAACTACATTTACAGCAGTCAAATGATTTTCTACCTCATCATGAAGAGATTACTGAATCTTATATACCCTGACTGTGCATGTGTTAAAGCAACCATTCTACTTCACCACTTCAAATTTGGAACAGAGGTTGGATATCATGACTGGGCACTCTCCCTTCTCATCATATTCGTTGAAGTCCTCTCCAGACAAGTCGATGTCTTCATATTTAGTCCCTGCAATCTGCAAAAGTGAATTGCTATAAGTTGGAATTGTTTATCAAGGAAATGAAAAGACACCGGGACATTTCCAGACGTGTGGTGATTCAAAATATTGCATTGAGAAGAGGTCACAAAAATTAAGCATGGATAATTTGCAACTGAAGCCATAGTAAGTATAGTAATAAGTTCATCTATTAATAAAAGAATAGGGCAGACCAATTATTTAACAAAGAAAGGAAACAAACGTTTGTGGCTCATCCACTGGATAGAAATTAGCTGGTTTCATTTTAAATTTTACCAGTTTTTGTTCTGTAGGGTGTATAATGTATTCCAAACTTCAACTGCCAAAGGCTTTGTAATTTTCCAATTTCTCAGTTCTTGAATCTGTTTTTTATTGCTTTGTACTGTTATTCCCCCACACCCAACACACTTACACATGTGCGTACACATGCAATGCTTTGCAAACAGAGAGGGAAGAGAGTCCAACTTTAGTTTTGATATGAAGTATATTTAACATCATTGGTGTCCACCAAGCATCTAAACCTATTTTGCATGACAAAAAATATGTCAACTTTAAGATATTGATAAAATGGCGAATAGACTAATGTATTATCCCTCCCATTTCCATTCCCTCACATATCTAACTTGAACACATGGTTTTGCATTCCATAACAAAGCATGATATGTTTCTCCATCATATCAGTTGCAAGTTTGCAACACAGCAACAGGCACCGGGATTGATCAATTTTTTTCAAATCCACTCTGAACATCTTAAAGTTTTCTTCTATAAATGTATCTCAGTTTGAGAATGTTTAAAAGCAAACAGGTTTGAAAGTTCATATGCAGCCCAAAATTTAAAAACAACCAATAAAATAAAATAAAATAACATTGCAAATAAGAAGTCTGAAAGTAAAGTTCGAAGTGCATATTCCTTTGGCTCAGCAATGATGGTGAAATAAGTTTGAGCTTCACAATGGTGAAAACATGAAAGTAACTATCCAAACTTTTTGGAGTACAAGAAAAATGAGCACAATATTCCTTTAATGGATTTGGATCCTCTCATGTTCAAAGTAAAATGATAGATCATGTTAGTGAAATCAAAGCCGTTGAAATCAATGGTTAAAATTTCTTCACAAAGTAAAGTAGCTATCAATTCAAAAAAAAAAAAAAATGTCTTAACCACCCACTAAGTTGTAGGAAGAAAGTCACAAACATTGATATTCAACCAACGACTTGGATTTGATCCCAATCCTCCTTTAACATCCATAATTATTCCGAAGGATTAAATGTAAGAAATGAACCAGAGTCATATAGTCCTTGACTTCACAAATCCACAAACTATCCATACTTTTGAACGATTCATGTTCAGTAAGAGACAGTTTCAAGAGAAGAAACTTACAGATTCAGCTGTCCATGCACCTCTGAATACAAAACCCTCTGGCTCATAACCTCTGAAGTCAAATTGCATCAATGGGGCATATTTCCCTCCTTCACTCAATTCCTGGGTCAATGGTTTGCCTTTGCCTGGGATCATTGTCACGGTACCATCCCTCCCACAAAACTTGCACTATTCACAGAAAAAGGCACATTGAGTCACCACTCTGCATTAGAAGATGATATATTCATGCAAAATACTGTCATCAAATGATGCCCAGCAACAGAAGGAAGCTGGTATAGCCAAATAACTCAAAGCTACTATCCATCCCCTCAACCCACCAAAATATAAATATCCACACACACAATGAATATGAAATCACAAGTACATTTTACCTAATTCATTTGCTTTCCACAAAACAAGGATCGTTCAAAGCACATCTCTAATCAGAATTTGCTTTATTTATTCAGATACATATTACCCTGTCTCCTGATCAAAATTTTGAAATCCTTGCAAAGCTTAATAGTTAATACCACAGCCACTGATTACAAAACACCAGAAGAACCTAAATATCAATATCTTGTTGCTGCAAAATCTCACAAGACTTGATCCTACAGATATTGAATATACATAATTCAGTTCCTACAGATATTGACTACACATAATTCAAGAAATCTAAACAGCTTCTTTTGTTGCAGCAAAGGTGAAATAGAAAGAGCAAGTAATCATATCAAAGTCCTAGCAATTTTTTAATCACGTTACCTACTCCTCAAAAAAAAAAAAAAAATTCTTATAATGTCACAAAACGGAATAAAAAGAAAACATAGAATCAAAATCAACAGAGCCGTACTATGAACTACCATGGTAATGCAAAGCGCAAACATCAAAACCAGGGGTTTCCTTGTCTTTCCCTTTTTTGTTCCCAGCAGCCAACCAGATCATAATGAATTCAAGAATTAAACAAACTATCCACATCTCAACAAATCAATTCCATTACCAACTGACCGCACGAGCTTATGTGGTTGATTCTACGCAAATAGAAGGATAAATGGAACAAAAGATTACCTTCTGAACAAGATGAGCAGTTCCCTTGCCCTGAAGAAGCGGAACAATTTCATTCAAAGTCACACATGTTTCTTTCTGGCTCACCTCTCCACACCTCCCACATTTAATCTACATCTCCAACAAGCAAAACACATAAATAAATATACTGTAAATTAACAAACATTCCAGTAGAGGAGCTGAAAATAGAAAAGAAAAAAAAAACCAATAAAATTTAAAACATTATTATATTGAGAAATATATAGATAAGTAATTTGCATCCACCTTTAAAAGTAAAACAAAAAATAAACATCAATTTAAGTAAAATGAAAAGCGATTTAGATTTAATTAACGACAACCAAACCTAATAAAAACCACTAAAATATACAAAAATGCATAAAAAACACACAAAGTAAGATTATTATAGGATTCGAAGGGAAAAAAAAAAGAATAAAAAATGGAAAATAGCCACTGCTTATGCTGAACAAAGTAAATAAAACTAATAATTGATAGTAAAAGAAATTCACAAGCAGATAAAAAGAAAAACAGGTGATTAAATTAAAATGAAGTAAGTAAGACTAATTAATCAAACTAAACAAAGAATTAGAAGAAGTAAAAAAAGAAAAAAAAAAAAAGAAGAAGAAAGAAAAGACCTAAGATATACTAGTAAGTAAAACAGTGATAGAAGAAAGGGATTATACCTTGAAGAAGTAAGAGAAATTAGGATCGTCGCAACCGCCTTGAGGCTGGAGGTTAGCGATGTTCTCGAGATCAGCTGTTACCATTAGCATGTAATTCACCATTTTTTTTCCTTCCAGCGTCAAAATCAAGCTCTCTTTCTTTTCACACTCTCTAAATTTCTGCCGTGATTATGTTTGTACTGTGAGTAAGCGTGATGAGAAATGCGAATTGGGGGCTTTATGTTTTATATTAAAGGATTTTGTTAATTGATAATAAATAATTATATTTTTGCATTTTGTTAATTAATAGTAATAATATGATGACACGTTGCAGTAAAAAATGTAGAGGATAATTTGTTAGTTTGTTTGCTCTCCGTTGGATTGGTTGGAAATGGCAATAGAAGGGCATAGATGGTTCTAGATTTGAGTGGGGAGCAAGGCAGCAAGAGTGAAAAGCAAGTCTCAGTGTATTAGTTAAGATCACGCCTATTATTTTTAAGTAGCATATAGAAAAACTAATAAGTAAAGATTTTCTACGCTTCTGTCCATTTATTATTTATCATAGAACCCATTTCATTCGATCAGAAAACCAAATAAGTCTTGCTGGATGGTATTTTTAATTTATTGAAAAGTGATTAGATTTCAAATTACTTCAGAAAAAGAAAAAAAGAAAAAGCTAGCAGATTGCGTACACACTTGATCAGAATCATAATACCATCCATTTGTGCATACGATTATCTATTTTTGTAAAATGAGAAATTAATGTTTGGGCTAAGGCCCATGAGACTCGAGAAGAAGGTTGGAAATAGAGATAGCAATATATTGTTGGGCTGGCTTTTTAATAGACCTGCTATACCTACAGCATTATCCATCCCCACTTATGACCCTTTTAGATCGAATTAAGCAGCGAACCGCCAGGTACCTAACCTAATTTGTTTTTTTTTTTAAAAAACTACTACAAAAACCATTAAAAAATTACGACCTAAATAATTAAAGCATAAAAGTTAATTACATCTCAATTAACAAGTTAACATCATAAAATAAAAATTCCTAAAAAAAACCTAAAAAATAAAGTTCAAAATTCCAATTATACATAAAATCATAAAAAAAAATTAAGACTTACTGTACCATAAAAGAACAATCTATACATCTTGTAATAATTCTGACATATTTTTTCAAAAATGGATAAAAAATACATGAATTATACTTCGATAATCATTTTAGTACGAGAGTTATTTTTCGTTCAAAATTTCGAATTCATATGACGTCACATGATACACATGATGTTATTTTGATAACAATCCACATAGAATGACACTTGATCAAAAATTAAAATTTCATATTAAACATACGACATATCACCTACTTATTTAAAACCAATTCCAAAAACTGCTTAAAATTTCAGATTATGATGCATTTACCTTGGCTAACTCACATTCTTTTTCTTTTTCTTTTTTCATGGGAACTGTTGTTTCAGTTCGTTCCTTCTTCAACAAAGTCAACTAGGTTATGATTTTTATTTTATAGCGGGATTTTCAGGAAAAAACGGTTCTAGTTATCACATTAACCAGCCATCATCGAGTGAAAAAAACGAGAATTTGTGCGGAAAGCGCATATCTCACCATTCAACACGAGGGCCAAATAATTCCATAGATGGTTGTGGCAGTGTTGCTAATTCTTCTTCTGTGTCATACCAAGATAAAAGCAGTGTGTTCTTCCCTCATAAATTAGTTGTTACTCAACGTGGAGAAGATAGTGGACATTCCAAGTTGTCACCATTGTCGATCACTAATTCTACTGCCAGAGTTGGAGACACCCAGAAAGTTATACGGAAGGATAAGCCTAATGTGCTTCCAAAGATCAAGTGGGGAGATCTGGAGGATGTTGTTTTGATACTGCATTGCGAAAATAATTCTTAAGCTGATAAAGAAGATTGAGGTTTTTTTTTTTTTTTGTCAGGTAAAGAAGAGAAGAAGATTAGAGATTTAGACTTATTTGTCGGTTGAGCAGAAAAAAAAAGATTAATTTTTTTGTATGTAACAACATAAAATACATATCAATATTCAACTCTATATCTAATTAGGAAAGAGAGTAAAACATTAATTAAAAAAAATAGGTTAATCCTTTTTTTGACATGTGATCGTTTATACATCACGTAAAATTATAAATAATAAAAAATAAAATTTTTAAATCACCCTTGACCTATATGGTATCTTTCTAATTAGTTTCATGCACTATATGCAAATTGGATAAAACAGGTAAAATTATCTAAAAAATTATTATAGTTTGATTGTCTTTGTCATATTGCAGATCTATTAAAATATATTGAAATAAAAAACAAAGAAAAAAATCGCTTAATTTTATGATCTATTAATCAAAATTTCTTACTCAATTAATTCTTTCATATTTTTTTAATAGATCTTCTTCTTATAAAAAACATGATTTTTTTTATGCATGAATTCTTAAATAAAAATTTATAATAATCTAAAAAGCAAGTTTCAATAATCATAAATCTAACAAAAAAATTGCATAAATTTAATTATTTTATTCATAAGATTGCACAAAAAAAAAAAGTAACAATTAATGTACACAAATTTCATAAATAAAAAATTTTAAAAATAAAATTTTATTCTTATTGAATACTTGTTGATAAAATTAATTTTTGAAAGTATTTATACTATCTTTTTATATACATTTTCAAAATAATCAATAATATTAGTATAAAAATTATATTTGAAAGTATGGCATCATTAGGTGTCTTTTTAAAACATAATTTTAATTATTTTACTTGAGAGAAATTGATTTCAAACTATCCAAAAATTTAAAATAAAAATAGAAAATGTTAAGTATTTTGTGTGTATATACACAGTCAATTTTCAATAAAAAAATACTTATAAAATAGATTTTGATTATATAAAAAGAAGTAAATAAAACGCATGAATTCGATTTTTATTTCTCTTAACATATATTTTTATTATAGGCTTGGTCCTTGTGTATAGGCTTTACATGTATAACAATCAACTCTCTCTCTCTATCTCTCATTCTTTTCTTTCACTTCTTACTTTTAATTATTACTTAGAAACTCAAAAATATTCCTATTCAAAAATTCAAAAACTCAAGCTAATATTTTGAGATATCGATCTATTTCTTTCAACTATTTCTTGACTTGAGACCATCATAAATAAATTCTATCTCTATATTTACGAACCAAACCAAGATATAAATAAAGTTGAGAACCAAAACAAAAAAAATTAGAAAAAATCAGTGATCAAAATGCAATAGTTGTCAAAACTTCAAATCAAATTCCTAAACAAAGTCTAAAATCACAACAATGCCATAATAAATGCACGAACAAAGGCTAAAAATTAGAACATTATCATCAAATTGGGATCCTCATTTTGGTCAACCGACCTTACTTTATTACTCAAGGCGAACATCTCATGCATCTTTAGAACCATGGAACTACCATATAAGAGCATCTCCAATGGTGCTCTCTACTTCTAGCTAGCATTTTTAATATAAATAGAGAGCACTATTAATTATATAGATTGAAGATCAATATCCTCTCTAATGCTACTCTCTACTTAACTCTTTATTTTGATAAAATCTATAAAACCCGGAGAGATTATTGGTGAGGAGGTTGAGTGGTATAGAAAATAGTAATTTTCATTAATGAAATATAAGATAAAGAGTCATTTGGACTCTCTAGTATTGGAGAGCCAAAGACACTCTCTATATCAATTTTAAAGATAGAGATTGTGATAAAGAGAGCATTGGAGATGAAATTTGGATCAAACCTCTTTATTATAAAGAAAAAATCTTAATATAAAGAGAGCATTGGAGATGCTTTAATATGGGTGAACACTAATGCACGCTATATCTCTTAGTCTAATGGGCTTACCGTGATCCCCTTTGGTAGAGTTATTACGTGGAAGTGCTAGCGTAGGACAATCCACTTTGACTCATTTTTATAGTTTATACACTTTTGTATTACCTCTTCTTACTACCGTATTTATGTTAATGCATTTTCCAATGATACGTAAGCAAGGTATTTCGGGTCTTTTATAGCTTTATTCCTTTCTATTTATAGAAAATATAGATCATACTAGATCAAAATTTATGACGTTTAAAAAAAAATTATAGATCCAATGTCACATTTAGTAAAAATCTATGATACATGTATAGGGTGTACTCAATGTGTCCGGGCTTGCCCCATAGATGTATTAGAAATGATACCTTGGGATGGTTGTAAACAAAATCATAACAATGTTATCGCAAATGAATGAGCAAATAACAAAAATTACAACAATACCAAGTGAATAACTCACATAAAAAATTACAACAATGCCATATGAATAGTGCGTATGAGTATGAGTGAATAGTTAATAAATAGTGAGCATCTCATCTCTTTTAGGTTTATTGTTAATAATTGACATTTTATTTTTTATTATGAATGGAAAAAAAACTAAAATTTGAGTGCTCAATTGATGATTTTTTTTTATTTGAATATCCAATCAATAAATCTTTTTATTGGAGTGTCCTAGTTTTGATTTTTTTTTTCTATTTGAGTGCTTGCAATAGTTTGAGACTAGAAAATATTGATGTGTTCGAGATAAATGATCACTTAGTAGTTTTTAACAAAAAAATATTAACATTTTTTTCTTCTATTAGAGTGTCCTAGTTTTGATTTGTTTAATCTTGAATTATTTAAAAATTATATACATAATATGAATGTCTAACCATTTTTGTTTGAGTATCCAACGTTTGTTTGTCTATTTTTTTTTTCAGTTTTCTTAGCCATCCAAGATTGAAAAATATTGACGTGATCGAAATCTATTAACATACAACAATCTGTAATTATGTGACAAAAAGTGGGTTCCACTAAGATTTATTGAGAAAAAAATATAAAAAAATTATAAACCTATTACAAATAAAACTGGTTGGCAAGAATAAAAAAAAAAAGAAAAAGAAATCAAAAGCAATTATTATTAGTTGAATGAACTCGAATTATTTAGATGATCCAAGATTAAAACTCTTGGATCGGGCAAAAAAATGATGCTATATTGAAAGTGTTTTAAGAAACTGATCGGTAAACTTGTTGATTTAGTTGGCTAACAATAATTAATTTATATATATATATATATATATATATATATATATATATATATATATATATATATATATATATATATATATATATATATATATATATATATAAATTACGCCAACTATTTTTTTAAGTTTTTATAATTTTTATTTTTGTCTTTTTCTTAATAAATCCAAGCGTGATCTATTTTTAACCACGTGTTAGTTAAAGACCATCATGTGCCAGTTTTTTTTTTTTTAATAACTCACACACTCATCACATACATTTAAGGCTCTTAGCAGAACTAGTCCGCTAGAATTTGAATACATGAGCTCTTGCAAAAGATTACTATCACTCGGGTTACAAGCTAGTGGATCCCCATCATATCAATATTTTTTTAATCTCAAGTGATTGAGAGAACTCACATAGAAAAAAAAATCAAAATTTGAAAACTCAAACGAGAAAAATAATAAAAAATTAGGCACTCATATTGCAATTTTTTCTTAAAATTTTTTGATTTTTTCTAATAATCCAAGAGGGACTCACTTTCTACCATGGGTCGGTTAAAAATTATCATGTGACGAGTTCATTCTAGGACATCGGTATTTTCCGAGTCTCGTGTGATTATGGTCATTCGAATAGGAAAAAAAAATAAATCAAAATTTGGACGCTTAAATTACGGTTTTCGATGTAAAAACTCTAAAAATACTATAAAAAAATAGGTAAAAAAAAGCCAATAATTATAAGCTAAAAAAAGTAAAATTACATTAAAATTTATCAAATTATTAAATTAGATCTTTAAGTTTTTTTTTCTTAGTTTTTTTTACATGGAATCCTTGACTATTTTCTCATGTTATCTTTGACTCATTTGGACGAAAGGAATCATAAAAAAATTGTTGTTCTTTTTTACTATAGCTACTATTACTATTATTAAAAAAAGAGTTTTTCAAGAGTTTTTAATTATACATATTACTAAATACAAGCAATCAAAATATTTTTTTAAAAAATAAATTACTTTAAAAATTATCATATTTGTTTACTTTTTATATTTAATATTTAAAATACTCATTTAAATAAAACGATTTATAAAATTTCTATTCATATCTATATTCTTAATTTCTATTCACCCCATGTATACTTAAAATTAAAATTAAAAAAAAATTACACCAAAATTCAGTAAATTATTAAATTGATGTTACTTTCTTTTTAATAAAAGATCCTTGGTTATTTTTGATATTTTATTTTTTATTCCTTATTTTTAATTTTATTTTTGATTATAATCCTTTTTTTTTTTTTTTTTTTATCATTATCTAACTTAGTAATCGTCTTGCATTTCCTCTGGCAACATATTTGCACCCCTTCAATCCATCATGCTACATAGCGATCTGAGAAGAACAATTAGGGTCATTTTCTACTTTTCTACTATGCTCATAAATAAAAAGCTCGTTTCAGATCCATTCTTCACTACAATTATCTCGATCCACTTTTTCAGAGAAAAACAGTAATACACCCTGAAGAATTCCTACTAGCAGACTTTTCTTTATTCAAAGTGAATTGTCTCAGCTCTCTCCTCTTTTGGCTCTGTCTCTTTGTTTATCTCGTAATCATTCGATTCTGCAATTAGCTCCTTATCTTTCTTCTTTTTTAGTGGTCCTTGATCCTTTTTACACTGTACTACCTTACTATATTCTATTTCTCTATTTTAATGGTCTACAGTGAAATCATATGTCATTAAGAGAGCGTAGTTGTATTGATATTTATTGGTATTGCTATGTGTCTTCCCTAGACTTTGCTTATTATTAAAATATTTTAGATAGCCTTTTTGTCCAATGAAAAGTGTGAGAATTCCCGCTCTAATGACCTATGTGAGCAATGACAGAATGATTTTTTCCCCCCAATTGAAACGATTATTTATTTGGGTTATAAGGGAAAAAAATGATGTTTTCTTTCTTTTTTTAGGTAAAAAAAAAAGCCACATGGAACTTTTTTTACAATATATAGCATAATAGAAAGAATGTTGTTTTAATTTTTAAATATATATGAAAAATATTACCCTTTATATTCCAAAGAAATGGTCTTCTTTAACTTTTCATATAATTTAAGAAAATTATTAATTATTATGCTATATCAGTATTTTTATTCACTTACCCAAAATACCTTTTGGTTAAAATTATTAATTATCAAATTTAATCATGCATTATCCGGAATCAATTTTAATTTTAAAGAAAGTTTTATAAAAATTAAGGTGGCAAATAGAAAAACAATCATTAAGTTAATTAACCATCAAATTTAACGAAATTATAAAAAAATAACATACTAACAAAAATATTTTACTCCTAAAATTTTGGCATGTAGTAAAGTCTCCAGAAGAATAAATACTTTTCATGTAATGAATTTTTTTCTTTTTTGAAATTTTTATGTTAAATGTATTTGTATGTATAAGAAAAAAAACAAATAATATTGATTTTTTGTTAGTGAAGAATGTAAAATAAAAGAAAGAAATGATTTTCTTTATCAATTAATGATATTTTAGAAAAACATATTCTTTAAAATTTTGAGCAAACAAGTATTTTCAGATAGATATAAAACGAAAAATATACAATTTTTTTTTTATATAAAGAGAACATATGAAATTTAAAATAGAATTCCTTAAATGGACATGGATGGATCCTCTCTATGTACGAGCGTGATCAAACAGGCCGCATACCTGTCTATTCTTTTAACAAAACAAAGTAACTCAACCGCATTTTTAATTTATATATATATATATATATAACGGTGTAATTAAAAAATAATAAGGACAAATATAGTTACGATAATTAATCGATCTAATTGAGCTATATATAGATATTGATTAGTACAATTTAGCTTACAATAATGTGGCAAAGATTGTATGGTCAAATTCTTCGACTTGTACGTTCTGGGAAATGCCTTTTTCTACTTAGTCAAGAATTGGGATCCAAAAAGTTGCACCATCGTAGCAAAAGGAGTTAGGTTTAGCTATTGACAGCTTAATTGTTCATCTGAAAAGTTGGCCACTGGCTACTGGCTGCAGGGCTTATCAAGTTACTGTGCTCCTTTTATTGGGCTCTTTTAGATGGTTAATTTGGAATATTAGCATCATGCCATGTTTGGTGATGCTTGGCTTGGTTGCAGATGCAAATAGCATAAATCTTTGGTGGTAAAAACATAGAATGGCAAAACCTAAACGCAGAATAAAAATAACAAGAGTTGGCTGCTAATTAAACTATGTTTAGTGGGTCTAATCATGTGCCTTGAAAGGTTAGATGCAATTTACTGCAGTGATTATTTTGTGATAGCTTAACCAGTTGTTACCATATATTGATCCCAAAATGTATGAAAATTATGGTCTTCGAGAACTCACTATATATGCACGTTTCACATTTTGCATGTCATATGCCAAGATGGAAACGTAAAATGGATGATTAGAAGGTGAACCATACAAACTTCGTGTACTTTTGAATTTGAAAGTACTTAGAATGTCAGCATGATTGATCACCATTGAGTGATTATTACATCACTTGATTTATCAAAAAATAAAATTGATTACATCACTTTCAAGTTCATTCATCATTAATTAACTATCAAGGTAGGGGATTTTGTGAAGCATTTTTCCAAGATTTACTATTTGATTACAGTGACTTTTTCTGTCAGAAATGGTAGGAAGGTTCTGTTCTCATGGTTTGCCACTTAAAGGAATGATCATTCTGTTGGGAATAATTATTTTTGGTTTTGGGATTGGGGAGTGTAATTTAATACCAGGAAACAAAGTTTTGGAAGTCGGAATGAAGATAAAACACCTCGAAAGACACACAGTAAGAAGCATTCAGGTACAAATTTCCCGCTAAATTTAGGGACCTCTCTTCTGAAAACTTCCTTCTGCATATATGGTAATAGTAGAACTGGAAGATTATTCAGTCACTAACAATGTTTGTGCCTGTAGAGTGAAGATGGCGATATTATAGATTGCATTGACATCCACAAGCAGCCTGCTTTTGATCATCCTGCTTTAAGGAATCACACCATCCAGGTCATATACTTTTATGTACCTTTAATTTTAGCAGAATTTTCTCCTCCAATTCTTGTTTCACCTTGAATTGTTAAATGTAATGTTTTATTCAGATGACACCCAGTTACGATCCAATTATGGAGGAAACAACAACAAAAACATATAGTTTGAAAAATGAAGACTCAAAGAGTTTGACGTCACAAGTATGGCAGAAAAGTGGAAGCTGTCCTAAGGGAACGATTCCAGTCAGAAGATCACCGCAAAAAGTATTGCTTAAAACAAATTCACTTGAAGATTATGGAAGGAAGAAGCCTGGTGCTTCCCCTTCGCTTACGCATCTCAATAAAGACATCAGCTCAAACCTTCAGCAGAGTAATCGCTCGGTATAGAACGTTCTATGCATGCAACCGTGACATTCATTATATACTACTTGAATGGTATCTAATTTTTCTCTATTCTAATCAGATGGCTATACTGCTCACTGAAGGTTATAGTTATTCAGGGGTCAAGGGAGACATAAAAGTTTGGAATCCTCATGTTGAATCTGATGATGAGTACAGTACTTCTCAAGTTAGTCTGAAAAGTGGTCCTTACTATGATTTTGAGAGTGTCGAAGCTGGATGGGCGGTTAGCACAAACACTGTTATTAGAACTGTGTTCTTTCATTCGCAGACTTAAAGTTACAAACTGCATATTGTTTATTGTCTCTCTGCAATGTTCAGCTTTTCTTGTGTTAAATCTGATCGTTCAGAACAATTCGCAACTTTGCAGGTAAATCCAAGTGTTTATGGAGACAGAAAAACTCGATTGTTTGTGTATTGGACTGTAAGTTCATGCCAGCCACAACATGTTTTATGCAAGTTCTAAATCAAGAGAAACGTGCTTGTTGATTCATTACTTGCCCTCATGAATTAGTGACACCGTAACAGGATTAAAATCTCGTGCATTTTGAAAAGCTCGGTGCAAGTTTTGATTCACTATTTTCTCTTCTGTCTGGAATCAGGCTGATGCGTCAAAGAAAACAGGTTGCTTTGATCTTACATGTCCTGGTTTCGTTCAAACAAGCAGTGAAATTGCTCTTGGTGGAGCGATATATCCTCTTTCAGTCCCTTCTGGTCTCCCATACCAAATAACCCTTTTTATCTCTAAGGTCAGAAAACTTAATTATTGGTTGATGGCGGCCTTTCCCCCCTTCAGTCATCCCTATCGTCTGAAATGTATCTCTCTTTTATCTTAATTTGATTTTAGGATCCAAGCACAGGCAACTGGTGGGTGCAGTACGGAGAGAAATATAACTTGGGTTACTGGCCACCAGACTTGTTTACTTCGCTGCGTGGTAATGCAGAAACTGCTGAGTGGGGAGGGGAAGTGTACAGCTCAAAATTGGAGCATCCCCCTCATACTAAGACAGCTATGGGCAATGGGCAATTTCCTGATTATATATCAGGCAATTCCGGTTGTATCAAGAGAATGCGAATTCGTGAAAATTCTCTAGTCCTCAAGTTCCCAGAGTGGGTCTCCACTTACTTGGACGAGTACAGGTGCTATGGTGCTGAGTATATTGGTGATTACATAGCAGATCCTGAGTTCTACTATGGAGGGCCGGGCCAAAATCTCTTGTGCCCTTGAGAACTTATAGTGTCTGCTACGATGATCATTTGACCTGCCTAGTTGCTTCAGTTAAGATTGTAATGTATTAATGTGCCAACAACAAAGAGTTTATCAGTTCCCAAGGGCTCCTCAGTCGATGAAACTTGACTTAGTTCAGATTCTTTGCTTCTGTGATTCATAGGTTCTGTGTTGCCAAATGTATATGCATACTCTTCCTTCGATGAAATGATTCTTGCAATTAAAACTAGAGAACAAAATCACATGAAGAATTCATATTCTTATAACATTTGGCAGAAGAATTTAAAGGACTAGTGAAGGCAGCTGTTCCTGTCTTGTTTCTATGTTCAACAGTAAAACTAATTAAATTTGGCTGTATCTCAACTATATGTTTACCGTTTTACATTTAAGATTTCTATGATAGACCTATTTCCTGTTGTATTTTTCCATTTTTCTTTATGTCTTGCCTTGAAGTTTCCTTTATTATTATTGTTTTTTAAAATTCACACACCCTACATATTGAGTCAAGTTTTTGACAGAACTAATCTATTAGGATTTAAATCCATGATAGATCATTATTATTGACCTATAAGCTCTTTGATTGCATTTTCCTTTATTAGTCGTCAGTTTTATCTTTCTAGTTTCTGCTAATCGTCCATTATTATAAAATATGACTCAACAAAAGTTGTATTATGCAGATTTAGAAAATGAGTTATAGGACAAGTATTCAATCAATTTCGATCTTTATCGTTTAAGGGGGAGAATTGGGTAATCTTTTTATGATAAGAAAAAGGAGATTGTTCAAGAATTTTGAATTAGCACACACTAGATTTTTTACCCGCGCTATGCTTCGTGGGTTAAATAAAATATATAAAATCATTTAAAAAAATTATTTTAGTTTAATAATCTATTTTATGATAAAAAAATAATTATAATTTTTTAATAAAAAATTTCGTATTTAACTATTTCTTATTTGTGTTTTTAAATTTTAGAAATAAAATAATAAAGAAAATAAATTGATGGTTTCTTTAAAATTTTAACACCCAATTAATTGTTGGTTCTTTTAAAATTTTAACACCAAATATTATTCAGAAACATAAATTAAAAAAAAAATTCAATCTTTATAAGAAAAAAAAATGGCACAAGCCGTTTACTACAGTAAACGGATTTAGGGAGTCTAGAAAAAAAATCAAACCACTAGAGCAATGAACAGTGATAATCACTGTTTATTGCCACAAAAAGCGTTTTTGTTAAAAATTTGGAATTACTTGCCGTTTTCCATGAATGAAAAACTTTTTCTATGTTTTCAACCTTTTCTATATTTTCAACTTCTTCCTTTCCGAGGACTTCATATTCCTCCAATATATTTCTTGGACTGTCTTTCCTCCAGCTGTAAGAAGAGGAGTCTCATCTCTTAAAGCAGCTGTGTTTTTTCATCCGAGAGAGAGAACGGATAGAGGAAGGAATTTTCATAGAGATGGAGAAAAGAGTTTCCATGCTTTTGTTGTTAATACTACTTTGTACATTGAGCAATGGAGTATATGGCAAAAGTAAAGCTAGAATACCTCGATTTGAAATCAACAGGAGGTTAAAGCTTCTCAATAAATCTGCAGTCAAGACCATTAAGGTATTTGATGCCATATGTAGTTTTTACTATCCCCGAACTAACATAATCATGAGTCAGTGACAAGATTATCTTTCTTCTCATCAACTAATTTCCATACTAACACCCCAGAGGTGTAATTGTTTTCTTTTCAATTTCTTTTAAACACTGTGTCACGCCACCGAGTCTGACGGTATGATGGGTCTCATCTAGTGGTGAGCTTTTTTTGTTGTAAGGTTTAGGATTTATATCAGAGGTTCTGGATTTATGGTTAAAGATTGCACGCACTTCCTGCTTATTCTTGGGCTAAATATTGTACTGTGCTGCAAAAAGATCCCTCTTCATATCACCTCTTGGACAATAATTTTTTTTCTTTTAGTCCAATGTTTTTAGCTTGTTTCTCCCATCAATCCATGGAAGCATTTATTTCAGTTTTCCATGTTAAAATATTGAAAAGATAGAATTAACCCCTCGATTGTTTTTTCTTGGTAAGACAAGGGTAGCAAGCCTAATGTATTGCTACTTGGTATTGTTCTTGCAGAGTGAAGATGGAGATATTATTGACTGTGTTGATATCTACAAGCAACCTGCTTTTGATCATCCTGCTCTGAAAAACCATACTATTCAGGTGCATCTCCAAGCTCTATTTCATAAACCTTTTCCTTTCATTTCCAAGACTACTCCATATAAGAAAGAAGTTACCTAAAAAGCAATAGTGATTAGTGAATCTGCTAAAAAAAAAAAAAAAGCATAAATCCTGCCATGAAAATCCATGTTCTTTGCATATGGTAATGTTCTTACTATTATCCTTTTTTCTTCCCAAAAGTCACCAGAATGTGTAAACTGTTATGGCTAAGCTTCACAAAATATGCAGATGCAACCCAGTTTTATTCCTGCAGTAGAGACTTCAAATGGAAAACTCGAGAATTCTCGACCAGTTGTGTCTCAACTTTGGAAAAGAAGAGGTAGTTGTCCTAAGGGAACTATTCCTATCCGCAGAATTCGAAGGCAGGACTTATTGAGAGCTAATTCCCTTGATGAATTTGGGAGAAAGAGCCCTGAACATTTCGAAAGAACAAACAAAACAGCCAACCAAGATCGCATTATGCACCTCAACAACACCAATGGCCCAATCCTTAGTCCTACTCCAGAAAATCGTTCTGTAAGCATCCTTTTTAAGTCCTGAACTTGATGGTTAAATATACACTTGTTTTATGATAATGATCCGTATTAGCCCATATGATAACACTGATGTCTAACACTGTAAATTGATTTCCTTCCTGAACCAGACTGCAATTCTTTTGACATATGGATTCAATTTCATTGGAGCCAGTGGAGAAATAAATGTCTGGAACCCACATGTGGAAAAACCACCTGAATTCTCTACTGCTCAAATCTGGCTTAAGAATGGAGAAGTGGACAGTTTTGAAAGCGTGGAAGCAGGATGGATTGTTAGTTCATCAATAAATAGAATAGTTGAAACCTCCAGTTGTTCTTATAGTATCAGTGAACATAATTCTGACATAACTTGATGTCCTTGTTCTGATCTTTTTGGTGTTACAATTTTTTTCCAGGTAAGCTTTTCATTATATGCTGATACACGGACCAGATTTTTCATATACTGGACGGTAAGTTCTTCAGAAAGAAGGTTCAAACAACAACATGTCTACGTCAGTTGTTGAGACTTTTCATGCCGTTTCATTTTCATTTTCTGTTAGGCGGATGGATACAAAAACACAGGTTGCTTCGATCTCACTTGCTATGCATTCGTGCAAACTAGCAAGGAAATAACTATTGGTGGAGCTCTTGAGCCAGGTTCAAGTACACATCAACAACAGTATGTTCTCCCACTCAACATCTTCATGGTAATGAAGCATTCTTTTCTTATCTGTCTTAGTTGAAACATTTGCTAATGATGTTGCAATTGACATAAATTTCATGTGTTATGTCATATAGGATCCAAGCACAAGCAATTGGTGGCTGATGTATCACAACATTACTGTTGGATACTGGCCTGGAAGTCTCTTCTATTTGCTAAAACACAGTGCCACATCTGTCGAATGGGGAGGACAAGTTTATAGTTTTAATGTCAGGAAAAGTCCACACACAAAGACAGCCATGGGAAGTGGATATAATGCAGAGCAATTATATGGTTTGGCATGTTTCATTGGACATCCAAGGATTTTGGATTATTCCAAGTCGTATAAGTATCCTACTTTTGTTGGGATTTGGAAAGACGAATACAATTGCTACTCTGCCATTAATTACAAAGAGGGAAATGGAAATAGTGAACCTTTATTTTTCTTCGGAGGGCCAGGTCAAAGCCCTCGTTGTCCATGAGAGCTTTGAAAAAACCTGAAAAATAATTGCCTTTTTTATTTTTTGGGAAGGTGTCAAAGGAATGATAGATAGCAACAACTTCACAGAAGCTCATGCTAGAAACACAATTTAAAAGAAAAAAAAAAGAAAAAAAGCCAAGATAAGAAATCTGGTCCTGAGAGAGAGGGAGAGAACAGCTGGTAGTCAGTGAAAAATAAATACATCCTCTCTTTTTAAGATCCAAGACACCTCTGTAAAATCATTTCACCACAGTACACACAAGTACACTAACAGTATGAAGGGCAACCCATTCACATTACTTTGCTTTGCTGTATTCTTACAGACTATCTACATACAAATAGCCTATAACCAGGTCAACTAAAAAGAGGAGAGTACATTTCAAACAACCAAGAAACACGTAAGTTAGATGTGTCTCAGGTTGTTTACTGGCAGTAGTCAGACATAAGATAAGCTAAAGAGTCATTGTTTTCTCCCTTCCTGTATGGATTGAAAAATTCGAGCTGCTGATTCAGTAGCACATCTAGCATTGTGAGGCACAACCTTGATCACTCTCGATGGCTGACCTGTCTCTTGAAGCTGAGGGACTTCCTCAGTGGCAGGAGGAGTCACTGGGAAAGGTGGGGGTGCAGCTCTTCCATCAGCAGCATTAAGAGTCCCAATCCCTTGTACTCTCCCACTAGGACTACTACCTGTACTTCCTTGTAGCTCACTGTCTTTAGATGCCTGAAGCTTCATGCCTCGTGAAACAACTTTACTCTTCTGGATCGGTTCATTACATAAGCTTTGATGTTGCATGTTAGAGTTCAATATCCCTCCTGGAAACTGAGCAGTTTGACCATGGGAAACAGACCCTGCAAAGTAATTCATTTGTTCCACTACAGAACCTGAGATGGCTGGGTTCATCGCTGGCATGCCATATGGGGGAAGTAAGCATTACCAACTGGAGGAGCACCAGGCAAGACCCCAATTCCTTGATGATAATGAGATGTTTGAACCCCATAAGCCAGACTCATAAAGTTACCAGCCATTGGAATTGGCCCAAAAGGTCCACATCCTCCCATTAATCCAGGGGCAGTGTAAGGCTTATATACAAGTCCTTCTGAGGGGGACATTACAGGAACTAGCCATTGATTCCCAGGAGAAGGATGGAAACACCAAGGACCCATTTTGGCATCAGCGGCCGTTGGAACTGCTGTTGGTCCTGCATAAGGCCCATAATTTGGAGGCTGACCATTTTTCACAGAAGAAAAGGATGTCTTCCCAACAGCATTCTCTGCAGAACATTCCATCTTGTGGTTTGTGTTCTCTGAATTATCTTTCCGCTTGGCAACATGAATTGGAGGTGTTACAACACATTCTGATGGAAGGTTTTCGGAAGGAGAACCCTTCATATGAGTTTTGGCCAGATGAACACCATCCTCAAGTAAGAGATTTGGGGATCCAGCAATCAGTTGCTGAACCTGTATGAACAAAATGTTTTTAAGGCATTTCCTTTCCAATCAAGCATATAGGTAAAACGATACATTCAATAAAACCCATTCCAGGGCTAGAACAGGCTAATTAACAGAGACCACCTTACCTTTATCAGTCTATGCAACTCGAACACTTGCACAGAAAACACTCTTTGTTGACTGTAGAAAGTAACAGGAGTTGGATCAAGAACAAAAAAGCCACAAGAGTTTGTAACATGCTCTGGTCAGCATGTAGAAGGAACAACAGAATCATCTTACCTCAACATTTGTTCACAACCAGGCACAACATAGCATTATTCTTTACAGACCTCAAGGCAGACCAGAAATTGAAAGCAGGCAAGCAGTTCAAATAAAATTTTGAATTGAAAGCTTCTGTATTAGATCATTTCTATATAAGAGATCACCTAGGCCATTTTTCTCCAGGTAACGAAAAATCTGATGTTTGATTTATTAGTATGAGGTTGCATTTTAAAAAAAAATCACAATGCCTATGTCCCTGAGGTCACCAAAACTTTGAAGCTTCTACAACTCTACTTAACAACACTCTTTGGCAGAAATCATATCATCATTCACTCTATATAAATAGAACAGTGGCATATTATTCTACTGGACACAAGAAGGTAATATCATAGGCGAAGAAATATATTACACAAAAGGGGAGAGGTGAGGAAGAGAAAAGAAACAAAACAGATTTCAAAACTAGAATGCATAGTCACTGACCCATGCAAAAGGAAAATGTTAAAGCTTCTAGCAATGAACAAACAGTTTGGTTCAAAATAGCACACGTCTTCATGCATACTCAAAACATGTTCAGTCCAAGAAAATAAACAGGAGCTCCAGCCAGCTTCACAACTTCAGCATGTACACAACATACAACTCTGTTTAAATTTAAAGAAATAGAATGAGTTTAGTTAAAATAAAAGGAATAAATGTGCAAATTCTATATCGGGGAAATCATTGCAAAGAGTAGCATAAACAATAGGAATCCCAGCCCCAATAAATCTTCCAACTTGAAGACACTAAACATCTTATGAGACAATTCTATTCGCCACCCAGTCCACCAAAAATCCCACATTGACAGTTATTCTCCAGTTTTCTCTTCCATGACTCACCCAGCAATATCATCTACGATCATCCACCATCCCTCGTTGCTTTCTTGCACCAAGCCCTCGAGCCACAAGTGAGAAAAAATCTCCAAAGGTTGCAGGGAAAATTGACCAACACCAAACCGAGACAGGAATGCATCCAGAAACCAGATGCAAAAGGGCATTCATGAGATGATCCACAGTCTCAGGGGCACATTGACAAAGTACCTCAAATTAGCATTGTCCATTTCCCTGCTGTCAGATGATCTGCCATTAAAATGCTATTGAGGGCATTAGCACACACAAACATGCTAGATTGGAAGAGATCCTGGGATTCCACACTAGTTACTTCTCCCTTGCCCATAGCCATGTTTAAAAGTCTTCAGTTCAAATCAGACGATCATTCCATGTTCCTAACTTAGCATTCCATGTAGCAATCTAATTCAACACTACATTATCTAAATAAGAAGAAAACTACTCCGGAGACCAAGAAAATGTTGAAGCTTCCTGGATTCCACTTATCATTCTCTTCTCCCATAGAAAAATAATATCACCTTATGATTCCAATCCTACCAGACAAACACAGGAAAAACACCAAAATTCTACAGTAAACTTAATCAACAACTAGAATTGCCCTAAGTCAAGAACAGAAGCGATTTGCACAAATATATCGGTACAAATAATGTTCTAAAAGACAACCCTTTATAGAACAACAAAAAATAATAACATAAATTCTTAAGGGATGTACATACTCTCATATTTCAATTTAAGACCAAAAATGGATAAAAACTAGTATCAAAATCAAACTCATTAAAATCTATAATGAAAAAAAAAACATCTGTTATGTCTGCAGAATATATTTTCATGTTTTCCCTTTGACATGTGACATACTCAAAGGGGAATGCCAAGCCACAGACAACCAGATAAGCTTTTTTCATGTTCTCATTTTTAAAAAATATGTGACATACTGCAAAATTGTTATGAAGTCAAAATCTGTAATAATTTCATTCATTACATAAGAACATGATATCAATCACCACATTTAGAGAAAAACTTTCTGTGCAATCCCAAAATATGAATTTTCCATGTTGCAACAATCTCAAGTAACTGTAAATGAGCATGGTGACTTACTTGACAATTGCTCTTCTTGCTTTCCAGAAATGTTTCTGACCAATAATCCCCACAACATCATCTGGAGAAATATCCAAGGCTGATATAGAATCCAACATTGAGGTCTCAGAGGCATCATTGCTTTTGTCTCCATTTCTGAATTGAAGTGACTCACAAGTCTCGTCTCCTCGACATTTGCTGTCAATTTCAGGCTCATTGGGACTACTACAATCCTCCCTCAAACAGGAGTCATTTCCAGGCTGGGAAATGTTTCTTTTCTCTTTTTGCCTTGTCTCAGGAACATAGCCACCATGTCCGTTGTGGTTTGATTGCAGCCTAGCTGAAGCCTCTTGTTGCAAACTAGTATCGTTTTCACACAATCTGGTAAAATTAAACATGGGGTTATCTTGATGCTGCTGATTTCGAGATGCATTGGCTTCCTCAGACTTGTCATTCTTTTCTCTGGTTCGCCAATTTGTTGAATATCTTGTTATATGATCACTACTTGAGACACACACTTCTAGGTTCTCTTCACTCTGGTTTCTCGTGTCCTGTCTCATATTGAGACCTGTGGAGCCAATATATTTTGGATCATTATCCCCAACATTTTGGATTCTCGATGAATGATCCAAATAAGTAGGACATACAGAAACAAGTTTTTCCTGATCAGCACTACTCTGCGTTTTAATGTGATTTTGGCCCTTCCCTGAATGAACAAAAACAGGAACCGTAAAATCATCTTCGTCTCCTACCTTCTTTTGTTGCAGAAGTGGTCCCACTGAAGTGTTCAAATTGCCTCCATCAGGCTGGCGAGAGTGGTATTTCTCAGCCATATGAATGGGTGCTGGAGAAGGAACATAATGAGGGTAGGGAAAATTTCTTTCAAGGCCACTCCCCTGCATATAAATTACTCATGGTGATCAAAAACAGTAAAACCACTATCCCTATTAAAAGAGAACAAAAGCCAGAAGAGGTCACATGCACGCATCCAAAGAATAAAAGTTTATATCCCCTTCCCACTACGTGAAACTTGTAGGGAACCATTATGTAATACAAATAGTGTTCCTCAGGTGAAAGTTACTCTTAAACATTCAAATAATACCCTGGTATCATCCACTGTCCAAGGAGCTAATGGCATAAGAACGCCTCATGGTTAAGACATCATGAATACCAACTAGTAGCATCACCATATGGAATACATTCATTACCTGCTATGACAGTTAATGTTCAACCTAGTCATTACTCGTTAAACAGGGAATAACTTGTTGGCTCCTTCGCCATTGTCAGCAACAACCATAGCATCAAACTTAAAGAAAAAGAATACTAAACAATTTGCACATGCTTTTATACTTCTAATAAGCAGTCATGAGAAGAAATTCTAAAAAACAATACACAAATAAACCATCTAAAACATGACACAGAAAAGGACCAATTTAAGTGAAGGGTTTCCTCAAACTATAAAATTTACAACAGAAAACAAGTCAACATCAAAATCTAATAAACCAGAATCATTCTAGATCACTACTAAATCTAATTCCAAACCGAACTTCTCTTGCTCAGAACTAACTCTAATAAACATCAATAGCAGCATCGAGAAAAAGAAAAAACCCGTATCGAATCATAAATAACAAGTAACGGATATAGATATATCAGAAAGTACCTGGCTTGAGGATCCAGGAGGAGCTAAGTTGCTAATATTACTCGGATTACGAGGCAAAATCCCAGGATTAAACCTTTGAGATGGAGTACTAAGCTGCTCATAAAGAGCCATCTTGTTCCTTGGAGGTGCTCTTGGCCCTCCTTTATCTGTATCATTCACATGAAGCCTCGGAAACATAGGCCCCATTATCTTATCATCATCTTTCCCTCTCTTCATCCCCAAATCTTTCTATCTATCTCAAATTCAACACAAATTCCTAATAAATAAATAAAATCTTAATTTTACACTTAACCCACCAAATAACCCCATGAACCCATCTCTCCAAAATAAAAAAAATCCAAACTTTAACCAAAACACACTTCAAAAACTGACGGTATGCAGATCCAGAAGCTTAAATCAGCTCCTCTTCTAAAAAATCAATCAGTTCCTTTAGACAAGGAACAACTGAGACCTCCAAAATCAAAACCCACTTGCCAAAATATCCAAAATCAATCAAAACCGACTCAATATTTTTAAAAAACCGAATCTCAAGTACTCAGATAGACCAAGTTTCCACTGCCAAAAACACCTAAAATCAAAGAGACCCAAGTGCCAAAATAGGTTGTTTTTGTTAAATTAGTGAGGGAAAACGTGCTTTGAAGCTGAAATTGGTGGAGGAAAGGCAGAGCAGAAAGAGAGTGTCATTTAAGGTTAGAAGAGACCAGGGAACAAACAAAAAGGATTGGAGACACAATAAGATTGGTAGAAATAGTTAAAATGGAGGCATTAAGAGGCGACTCCTATGAAAATTGTAGTCTTTGAACGGGAAAAGGGCAAAAAGTGCTAAATTGTGGACCCCCTTTGGATAGAGCTAGAAGCACTTTATTGTGTGGTTTCCTTACCAAATCTTATTACCTGGCCTTTCTCGCCAACTTATATATATATATATATATATTCATTTTCTTGTTTTAGTCCTTTTTCGTATTAACTACTGTTGCAAATATAATCCATTACAATTTGGCCATCCCTTTCAGTGTTTTAACCAGTGTTTTAACCCGATTGTTAAGATTGGATAAGCACGAGGATAAAAAAAATCTGTAAGTACAAATTGTTTAAATCGATGATTGTATCATATAAACTCTATGAGTTGGAAGTTCATTGGAAATGGATTCTGAAAATCAAGACATTAGCATAAGAGAAATATTTTTATTTTTTTTTGTATTTAATCGCATGATTGGTTTTTTTTTAATATATATATATATAGTTTGTGTGTTTATAACACTTATAAAATATATAATTTTTTCTTTTCGTTTTCTTTTTAACTAAATTTTTGCTTTTTCAATTTGTTTTATGAAACAATTTTATCTGCTATGGTATTACACTTGTCAAATTTTTTATTACTTATCACGTTTGCTCAAAAAAATAAACCAAAAAATATATATATTCAATCTGAAAAGCATAAGATTAATCATGGTACACATAATAAATGTATCTATAATGATACATATATCTAAAATATATAATTGAATATGAATCATATTGTACATTATATTTATAGTGTATCTAATTAATTAAGATACATATATTAATTTGATACATGAATTGATTATGATGCATGTATAATTAAAATGTATCTAATTAAATAAGACACATATAAGTACCGATAATACACATATAATTAAAGTGTATCTAATTAATTATGATCATTTAATTACTAATAATACATGTACAAGTCTTAATGGGAGACTTGTGTTAAGACTATAAAAAGAGGAGTTGGTCCTCCGTTAGCTCTTAATGAAAATCACGGAACAAAAGAAAAACTAAGGATTTTAATTTTCATCATTAAATGAAAGATCAAAAGACGAAACCATTCTTTACATATTATCTACTTTATAGTAATGATCGATGTTTAAGTTTGAATCAAGGTATGTTTTCTTTTAAATTATGTGAAAATCATGAAGTCGTAAGATTTATAGGTATAATGAAATTATGTCTTTTATTCTACATAATTGTTAATTGTAGTGTTCATGATAATGAAACTTATGTCTTATTGATTTGTCAAATTATATTTAAAACTTTCATGTGGTATTAGAACCGGGTTTAGGAACTCATGTTTTTCCATTTAAGATTATGGATTTCTCTCTTATTTATGATTTTAGAACTCAAGTTATAAATCTGAATTGATTAATATGACATATTAGAGTTTTTTCATACTTGAGTATATATGTCATTAAAATTACTTAAGTATTATATTAGCAATTTGAATCTAAATTTATGACTCAAAGTATTAATATAAGAGGATCTTATTTACGATATACGTATGCTGTTTTACTTCATTCGCATGCTTTATTTGTTCTTATATTTAATGGATTAAATTTCTCGATTGATGGGAACGAGTCCAGTTTTACTTAGGTGTTATGGATCTTGATGTAGCTCTTCAAGATGACAAGCTCGTCGATATTACCGATAAGAGTAGTGTTGATAAAAAGGCTTTCCATCAAGCTTGGGAAAGACCGAATAGATTAAGTTTAATGTTTATGCGAATGATAGAGGCAAACAACATAAAGTCTACTTTTCCTAAGACTCGATAACGCTAAAGAATTTAAAGAACTTATAGCAAAACACTCTTAAACCGTTGACAAGTCTCTTGCTTGGTACATTAGTGAGTACTTTAACCATCATGAAATACGATGGTTCATATACCATGCATGAGCATGTTCTTGAGATGACGACACTTAGTAACAAAATTAAAGAACTTAGGAATGAATATTGATGAGTACTTCTTAGTATAGTTCATACTTAACTCTTTGCTTCTCAGGCGGTATAGTCCATTCTAAATGAACTACAATACTATAAAAGATAAGTGGAGTGTAAATGAATTGACTAGTATGCTTGTTCAAGAAGAAATAAGGTTAAAGAATCATAAAGCTCATTCTGTTCATTTCTTAACTCATTAAGAAGCTAAAAAGAATTCTAAAAAGAAAGGTGAAAAGAGCAAAAAGAAAAGTTTACTCAACCTAAATGAGTCTTCGAAGGCTACTCACAAGAAGGAATATGGGGATGTTAAATGTAAACTTTGTAATAAAGTTGGGCATTTAAAAAAGACTACATGAAACGTAAAGCTTGGTTTGAAAAGAAAGGTAAGCATCGGTATGCTTTAGTATGTTTTGAATCAAGCTTTACCGAAGTTTCTCATAATGCTTGATGGATTGATTCGGTTCCACTACTCATATTTCTAATATAATGTCGGGATTCCTTTCGATCCAAGTCATAAAGGCAAATGAATGTTTTTTTGTTTTTAAGGAATCGAAACAAAGTTTCAATTGAAGGCATTGGTACCTATCATTTACTTTTAGATATTGAATATCATTTAGATTTGTTTCATACCCTTTATGTACCCATATTTTCTCATAATTTAGTTTCTTTATCAAAACTTAATGCAACGGGATTTGGTTTTAAGTCCGGTTTTGGATCTTTTAGTTTATTTAAGAATAATAATCTTATTAGTTTTGGAACATTATGTGATGGTCTTTAAAAATTTAGACTTGATAATGTTTTTATTGAGATCGTAATGAACTTACATCATAATATTGGTACTAAACGTAGTTAAGTTGATGAGAATTCCGCTTACTTGTGGCATAAACGTTTAGGTCAAAAACAAACACATTAATATATGTGGACCTTTTGACACTCCATCTTTTGGTGGACGAAATATTTTATCACCTTTATTGATAAATTTTCATGTTATGGTTATATTTATCTATTACATAATAAATCTCAATCAATTAATACAATAGAGGTGTATATTAAAAAAGTTAAGAGGCAATTACATAAGAAAGTAAAAATTATAAGGTCGGATAAAGATGGTGAATATTATGGAAGGTATGACAATGCGGGATAATATCTAGGTCCATTTGCCAAATTTCTTGAAAGACATGGCATTTGTACTCAATATATAATGGCGGGTACACCACATCTAAATGGTATAGCGAGAAAGGGAAATTGTACTTTAAAAAAATGGTTAAGAGTATGATGAGTCATTTATCTTTACCCTTATTTTTGTAAATGTATGTATTAAGGACTGCCATGTATTTACTCGAATAGGGTTCCTAGTAAAGCGAGTTCCAAATACTCCTTTTGAGCTATGGAGAAGAAGGAAACCTAGTTTAAGGCACTTACATGTTTGGGGTTGTCTAACAAAAGTAAGAATTTATAATCCACATAAAAAGAAATTAGACTTTAGAACAACCAATGGTTATTTCATTTGATATCCATAAAAGCCCAAAAGGTATAGATTTTATTAACCTAATCATGGTATAAGAATTATAGAATCTGGAAATGCCAAGTTCATTGAAAATGACGACATTAGTGGGAGTAAGAGAATGATGTTAACATTCAAGAAGTTAGGGTGGAAATTCCTATTCTTAAAACTTCTCCAATTGTTGTTCCCGAAATTATAGTTCAATCCAATAATGGTCAAAAACAACAAATAAATGATCAAACTCTCTAAAATGAAATCATCAATAATGAAACAATATAGTAGACCTATAAAAAAAATAGCATTAAGAAGATCTCGGAGAGAAAAGAGATCTACCATTTCTAATTACTATGTGGTTTATCTATAAGAGTTAAAAATTAACTTTGGAATTGATAATGATCCAATTGTGTTTGCACAAGCCATGGAAAATGATGATTCAACTAAATGGATAAGTGACATGAAAGAAGAGTTAAAATCTATAGATCAAAATCAAGTTTAAGATCTTGTTAAATTGCTCGAAGGATGTAAAAAGATTGAATGTAAATGGGTCTTTAAGACAAAACGTAACTCAAATGGCAATATTGAACGATATAAAGCTAGACTTGTTGCCAAAGGTTTTACTAAAAAAGATGACATTGATTATAAAGAGACTTTTTCACTAGTCTCGAAAAAAGATTCCTTAGAATAATTATAGCTTTGGTGGCTTATTATGATTTAGAGTTACACCAAATGGATGTTAAAACTACCTCTCTTAATGAAAATTTGGAAGAAGAAGTTTATATGGACCAACCTCATGGCTTTTCAATTAAAGAAAAGGAACACATGATGTGTAAATTAAAGAAATCAATATGTAGACTTAAACAAGCTTCCGGATAGTGGTATCTTAAGTTTAATAATATTATCACTTCTTTTGGATTTTAAGAAAACACCGTTGATTGGAAGATTAGTG